TAATGTAATGTAATGTAATGTAATGTAATGTAATGTAATGTAATGTAATGTAATGTAATGTAATGTAATGTAATGTATGTATGTATGGTAGGTAGGTAGGTAGGTAGGTATGTATGTATGCATGCCTGCATGTATGTATGTATGTATGTATGTAATGCATGTATGCATGTATGCAATGTAATGTAATGTAATGTATGTAATGTATGTAATGTATGTAATGTATGTATGTACTGTAATGTAAAGTAAAGTAAAGTAATGTACTGTAATGTAATGTAAAGTAATGTAATGTAATGTAATGTATGTATGTATGTATGTATGTAATGCGATGTAGTTTAAAGTAATGTAATGTGATGTTGTGTAATGTAATGTATGTATGTATGTTTGTATGTATGTCTGTATGTATGTATGTATCCTTGCACTTCCCCTTTGCTCCCCAGTCTTTCCCGCAAAAAACACTGTTTTTTCCAGCGTTTTCGCAAAGATGATGTCCAAAAACACAGAGTTTTTCCAGATTTTCGGCAAAAGGATGCAGGAAGCCCAAGCCAGCAAAAAAGCCGGCAGGGGGAATCGAGCCTGGGACCCCTGTTTTGCGACACCGGGTCCCCGAAGACTACGTTTAGTGGAACGTCATCAAACTGCCGCGCGGTCCTTGGGGGGGGGGGGCCCCCCCCTCCCCCCCACGTATCAGACGTCGGGTGGGGGGGGGTTAGGGGGGGGGTTATCCTCTATCCTCTCTTAGGTGTCCGACACGCCGAGCAATGTCGGCGGACTTTGAGATGTTCAGATCCAAGCGCGTTTCTCCCTTCGGTTTCGACGCCTCTCCGCTCGCGTCTCGCGGCGCCAGGGAGCGCTTCCAGCCGCTCCGTAGGCTTTGTGGGCCTCGGCACGGGGGCCCGGAGAGGAAACGGCGCACTAGGAATGGTAGCCAAAATGGAACCCTGGTACATGGACAGGTGGACTGAAACCTGCGTAACCCCCAGCTGCTTGACTTTGAGCCGCACCCAGTTGAACCGTTTTTTGGGGAGTCTTTGCCACTTGGAAACTAAAACGCCATGGATGACCATGGGATAAACTACCATAGTCTGATTGTATCAGCCCAGGAGCCTGTATCAAGCTTGCTACGCCAACCCCCTAGGCATTGGCACGTGTGACCCAAAGACCTTCACACCATCTCCTTTCCTGCTTGTTTTCCATGCATTTGCCATCCATCAACAAGCACCTGTTTGCCATCAACAAGGCTTGTCTTTTGCCAAAGCCTGAAGGCCTGTCACGACGTCTTCGGGGTGTGAGGTGATGTTTGTCATGCTTCCAGCCGGGGCAGAGGTGCTATGGGCTACCACATGGCCGGGCACATGGCGCGGCGGCATCAGTGCTTTGTGTGGAATCGCTCGGCGGACAAGGCGCCGGGCTCAGGGAGCTGGTCTAAGGGCCACATGCTTGTAGAAGGCGAAAGGGTTAAAGTAGGACAAACGTTTTGGCAAATGAAGCGAACATCACAGCAAAGCTTTGTTTTTTTCACTGCAGTCGCACGCCTTCCACTGGAAGGCTCGCAAGTGCATGCATGTGATCATCTTGACTGTGGGGTCTTCAGTCCAGGGACATGGTAGGCTTGCAACAGGACAGCACGAAGAGCAGATTGATGTTCAGTGCAGTGAAGAGTCGCCATGAGATCCCTCGCTCCCCTTTGAAAGACCCGCATGCCGGATTGAACTTGGAAGCGCAGGATTGACACTGACTCCTAGAGAGGATCTGAGCGCTCCGCAAGTCGTGGAACCCAAGGGCCCCAAAGCAGGTGCCTCTGAAACGGGGCCTTCGGGTCTTCCGTTTCAATTTGCATTGTAACTCCAAAGTCTCCAGAGGAGCTCCCAACATAGTTCCCCTTCATTGGGAGCGACTTTCCGCGAATCGGTCGAATCCCTTATTTGCTCTTTTGTTCTTTTTCTTTTTCTTTTTCTTTTCTTTTTTGTGGCGAATCCGTGGCAAAGCGTCTCCCCGTCTCCCCGGTTCGACGCGGGCGGCGACTCGTCTCCACGGCTCTCCGTAAGGCCCAGCGCCACAGCGCGGAGTTCGGGTCCACGGCGGTGGAGCGGCTGGAGCAGCTGGCCGCCAGCGAGGCGGGAGCCGAAGCAGAGCTGGCGCGCGAGTTTTTTTTTCCCGGAAGCATTGCGAAGGGTTCTTCTTCTAAAAGCGGCTGCCAACTTCACCTGCCAACTTCTCATGCCAACTTGTCGAGAGTTACTTCACCTGCCAACTTCTCATGCCAACTTGTCGAGAGTTACTTCACCTGCCAACTTCTCATGCCAACTTGTCGAGAGTTACTTCACCTGCCTACTTCTCATGTCAACTTTTTGAGAGTTACTTCACCTGCCAACTTCTCATGTCAACTTTTCGGCTGTTATCTCATTCTACTAAAAGCACAAGCTAATTTGTCGGGTGTTACTTCACTATCCTAAAAACACAAGCTAACTTTTCTGTTCTACCTTCACTTCTCGACTCTTAATTCTTCTTCTTTTTATGGCGGGGGTAGGCCCGACGGGAGCTTACGAAACGCACCCCTCTGCGGAGATCGTGCGTGTCGAAGCGCTCTCGCTGTGGCGCCGTGCGATTTTGTCTTGACCTTGGCGAACCCTCTGCGGAGATCGTGCGTGTCGAAGCGCTCTCGCTGTGGCGCCGTGCGAATTTGTCTTGTTGGCGAACCCTCTGCGGAGATCGTGCGAGTCGAAGCGCTCTCGCTGTGGCGCCGTGCGAATTTGTCTTGACCGGCGAACCCTCTGCGGAGATCGTGCGTGTCGAAGCGCTCTCGCTGTGGCGCCGTGCGAATTTGTCTTGAGCCCGATGAACCCTCTGCGGGGATCGTGCGTGTCGAAGCGCTCTCGCTGTGGCGCCGTGCGAATTTGTCTTGAGCGCGGCGAACCCTCTGCGGAGATCGTGCGTGTCGAAGCGCTCTCGCTGTGGCGCCGTGCGAATTTGTCTTGAGCCCGATGAACCCTCTGCGGGGATCGTGCGTGTCGGATCGCTCTCGCTGTGGCGCCGTGCGCATCTGTCTTGAGCCCGATGAACCCTCTGCGGAGATCGTGCGTGTCGAAGCGCTCTCGCTGTGGCGCCGTGCGATTTTCTTGCTCGCGAAACGGCTTTTGGAAGTTGTCTCGTGGTGTGCGCGCCTGCTTTCGCAATCCCGCGGTCCCGGGTTCGATTCCCCCCTGGTCCGCGGCAGCTCCGGCTTGAAAATCGCAGCTTTTAAGTACAAACGTAGTACGCGGAGCGTGCTCCTGCAGCTCCGGCTGGAAAATCGCAACTTTTAAGTACAGACGTAGTATGCGGAGCGTGCTCCCGCAGCTCCGGCTGGAAAATCGCAACTTTTAAGTACAAACGTAGTACGCGGAGCACACTCCCGCAGCTCCGGCTGGAAAATCACAACTTTTAAGTACAAAAATAGTACGCGAAGTACATTCCCACAGCTCCGGCAGCACTTGCTCAGAGCAACTTGCGCAGAGCAACTTGCGCAGAGCAACTTGCACAGAGCACTTGCACAAAGCACTTGCGGAGAGCAACTTGCACAGACCAACTTGCACAGAGCACATGCGCAAAGCGCTTGCACGGAGCAACTGGCGCAGAGCAACTTGCTCAGAGCACTTGCGCAGAGCAACTTGCATAGAGCGCTTGCGTGCAGCAGCTTGCAGAGAGGAACTTGCGCGCAGCAGCCTGGAACGATGCAGCTTGCGCAGACCACTTTCGTGAGAAATCGCGCGGCGCAGTTCGTGCAAAGCACATTGCGCCGAGCAGACTCGCGCAGAGCCAACTTGCACAGAGCCAGTTGCAGAGCCACTCGCGAAAAGTAGCTTGCGTAGACCCAACTTTCACAGAGCCAAGCTGCGCAGAGCCATCTTGCACAGAGCTAAGTTGCGCGAGCGTGCTTTGCAGAAACTGTGGCCGTCGTGTAAGCTTTGCTATTGATTGCTCTTCCTTTTGCTTGTAATTCGTTTCGAGCTTTACGAGCTTTACTCTTCTTGTTTTAACGGATGTAAATATGTGGGATCGAGCACTGCCATGTTTCCTCTCGTAGGACGATGAGATGGAGCTCTCATGTGACCATACGCATTGAGCATCGCCGCGCGCGGACACGCTCGCCGCAGCGATGTAAAAAGGTGTCTCCGCGGCTGGATGAGCACCTGGGGAAAAATGCTTTCGGGCCAATCGTCCTCTAGTTTTTTGTAATAAATACATATATGTATATATATATATATGTATATGCATACATACATATGTATATATATATATATGTACAAATAGGGAACACCCCGGCCAAACACGGGGTTAACCTCCAAGAATGGAACCAGTCTCTCAATTGCTTTTGGTCTGCTTTTGCTTCCAAGAAACTCAGGCAAAGCACCTGAGGATGTGCAGGCAGAGTGATCAGTGCCACTGGCCAGCCGGTTGCCTCTGGTCAGGTGGTGGTCTTTTGCCTGCCGACTTCGGCAGAGGATGAGGCCATCGTTGAGCAGGCCAGTTTGGCCAAAACGGCTACCAGATTCTAATCTTGTGCGTTGTGTGTTGCTTCCCGCTGCCCCTGTGCACATCAGCCGCATGAGAGGTCCAAATTCGGAATGCAACTCATGCTGTGCAAGGGCACCTGCTATCAAAGTTGTCAGTTGCGTGAGAGAGACTGAGATTCAGTTTCGGTCTACATATCAACATGTCTGTTGCACTGCGTCCAGCATGAATGAACTTCAACCTACAAGGAAGGCTCAACCCCCCTCCGCGGCTCCTTGGACTTGTGCTGGCTTGAAAGCTTCTGCGTAGGAACTGGCAATGTAGGTTCTTGCTTTCGAGTTTCATGGGTTTTGCACCTGCAGATGCAAGTGGAAGTATCAGGTTTGGAATCCTAGGAACAGACAAGAGAATAAGCCCAAACAGCAGATTATTTTGTGTGCTTTTCTTCACCGAGCCCCCTGCAGCTTGGGTTTCTAGTGGAGACTTCCGGGTGATGTTGATGTTGTGGATGGTGCAGATTCTTTTAGTATGGCGCCAATTTCGTAAGGGTGCAGCGGGACAGTTGCATTTGCACATTACAACAGCTTCTAGCGCTTGTCTTGATGCAGGTCACCTTGATGTTTTGATGTTCGGTTCCCCTTGTAGCTGAAAGTCAGCCAGCTTGTGTTGGAGACATGTTCATTCTTTTTGCCCGGGTCTTTGAATTAGACTTTTGTATTTGGCGCTTGGTCTTAGGTGGCGCCTCACCTGTCGCGCGATGCCTGCGTGATATCCTGTACCTCAGGCACGGGAAAAACAAAAACACCAGCAGTAAAACGGCTTTGGACATTGGCTGACAGCCCCGGATTTGGTTGTGTTAAAGCTCTGTGACATAAAAGGCAAGCTGCAGAGCATGAATCAAATGAGGCGGGTCAAGCTGAGAGGGCGCGGAGGAAAACAGCCGTCCAGCGAACTCGGGCCGTTGGTTTAGAGCGCGGAAAGTGAACTGTGCAACCGAAGGCTGGATGGTGAACGCATGCAAAGGGGTCGCTGGTCACTGGTTGATTGGTCTGACCTTCAAGAAACCAGTAGCGTGCGCCATCATTTGGGCTGGGAGTGATAATCTGCTCCAAAAAGAAAAAGCTGTTCAACTCAGCCCCCGAGTGAACATTTTGCCATTCCGCCAGTTTGATGATCTTATCTCCAAGAAGGGGTGCTCTTCTGCCGCAGTGGCCGCGTCGTCTTCACGGAACATGTCTTTGGTTTCAAAAGTTGCTGCGACCTCCTGGCATAGCTTGGCGATGGCTGACGTTTTTGCCCTCAGAAGTCGCAGCTTGGGTGCGCATAGGTGATGTTTTCATTTTCCGTTGAGCCTTGGGATGGGATTTGGCCTTCGTAAGCCCCAAGCCATGGCCGCTCAAAAAAAGTGGCAAACCAACATATTTGTCACCCTGGGTAAATGGAAAGCCAAAGACTTTGACTTCCGCGTAACCAAAGGGCTCGTTACTTTTGAGCCATAGCCACATGGCATTCGGCAAAAAGCGTGGCAGGTGCTCCGGCAGCAACCAGGCGGATGGCGGCCTCCCTGCGCCAGCGCTTCGGGGCCTGGCGCCCGTTTGAGGATTTCCCAGTTTGGTTGGGATTCGGTGAATTCACCACCCATTTTAGGACTTATTTTAGTAGGGATTGGTTGATGTTCACTGGGGGTACGGTTTGGATTTTGACCCATGGCCATTTCTGTTGCGTTATTTCTGAGGGGCGGTGCTTTGGATGGGAAGCTGATCTTAGGCCAACGAAGATCATGCCTAAGGCGTCATGAACACGCCGCGCGTCCAAGCCGTGCGGCGTTTTGTGCTGCGTTGGCTTAATCTTGCTGCCCACTGCCTACGAGTGAGCCCTCAGTTGAGGACAAGGTGCAGAGTGTGGCTGCGGCTCAGTAGTACTGAAGCCTCTGGGTAAGTGCCGCTGCCGTTCCAGGATGTCACGCCGTCTTGCCCTTATACCGGCCAGTCGCGTTTCGCGACTGGTGTGGCTGGCGGCTGGCGGGCCTGCTGGGCCCGTTTGCGGAGCCTCCTAAAAAGCCAGGAGGAATGGCGCCTTAGGCAGCGGCTGGCTCTCCTGAGTGAATGATCATTTTTGAAAAACTAGGCGGCGGACAGCCAGTCGAAAGAGTCCATCTCAAGTCCTTACAAACATTTGCCACTGTTGCCTTGAGAATAGGGCTGAGCCTTGACTCTCAACAGCACGACACGCACCACTTGCTCTGTGAGAATTCGAAGGTCTTCAATCCCATGTTGTGAGCGGTATAAGCTCCCAGATCTGACGTCAGACCGTAAACATCCGCGTGCGAAGAATGTTCGTGACGTCTGAGCTCCCAGGGCTGACGGTCAATGCTCGCGAACCCCATCGCAAATTTGATTGGCATCATTTGACTTTGCGATTCTGGTGGAGATTACTTTCTAGTAGCAGAGTTGTGCTGCCACTTTTCTGGGAAAGACGGCAGATTCCTCAGCTCAATCTAGCCTTTGACATTCGAGGTGGGGCATTTCAATCGCTTCCAACTAGTAGCTGCGCCACTGTGTGTATTGCTTTTGCCTATTCGTGGTCCCCCGGGTCAAGGGTCAAGACTCGATTGGGTCGCCGAGGTCAACCTGCTGGACTGCCCCGTGAGTGGCGGCCCGAAGGGTGCGGCTGCAGGAGGGATCGAGCCTGTGGGAGAAGTGGGACTGTCTTTTGGTGGAGTTGGCACCTTTTTGTGGTTCTAAGCAGGAACACCGACGCCATATTCGGGGAAAATAGTCCGAGAAAACAAGGACGCACCCCGAGTAAACGCCGATCCCAGTAAACGGCCCAAAAACTCATTGAGGCGTCGACACGCGGGAGGGCCACTGATCCCATCCGATTTGATCCGAGCTGATGCGCCCAATGCGCGCCTTCGAGCGGCGAGGCTCGCTGACCTGCATGCTGGGCAGCGACTGCCCGGCGGCCACGCAGCGCGCCCTGCCAGTGGTGGAGAGCTTCGCCAAGAAGGCCGAGGGCAGAGGTGGAAGCGGCCCCCTAGCTGGGTGGCGCGTCCTTTCTTTGGTGGCACTCCTTTTTTTGGGCGTGTTTCAAGGGAAAGCGACATCTTGGCGGGTCCCCCATCACGGCAGCTCTTGAAGGAGACAGACCAAGAACAAGAGTATTAGAATGTCTTATTTGGAAGGAGCCTGCATTGGCTGAAGCCAAGGCCAGCTTCATCCAGCTTAAGCTTCAAAAGGTATGTGAGGCTTCTTGGTTTTAGATTCCTTTGAGTTGCTCTTCGTTCTTGTGGGGGAAATTGTTAACCACGACACCAGGCAGTCTGCCTGAAAAATCAACACTGATAGTACACGAACACGAATTGAACGGAATTCGGCCCACAAACAGTCCTCATACATCCATAGCAACCCTAGACCCTAAATCCACCCCGAGTGGACTGCAATACTGCCAGAGCCAATCTGCACAGTCTGAACTGCGGCATGGAGCTCACGACGTACCCAGAAACCCCCCCCCCGTGGCAGGGAAGATTAGGTCCTATGTGGCGTGCGCGCGCGGGATGATTGTTTCCCCCAAAGTGGTACGCGCGGGGGGGATGTTTCCCTCACTCATGATACACACACACACGCGCGCACGCACGCACGCACGCACGCACGCGCGCAAGCACGCACGCACGCACGCAGACACAAGCAGAGAGAGAGAGAGAGAGAGAGAGAAACTGAGAGCACAAAGGGCACTCAAACAGAGTGTCAAGCAATACACACACACCAAGTACACTAACACAAACAAAACGCCCTTTTTCTTTTTAATTTTCGAATCATTCTAGAAACTCCCAAAGGGGCAGGGGACTGTTGGGGAATTCCGAAACAATTTATTCTAGCTCATTGAAATTTATACCTGTTCTATTTATTACCCAAGGGACAGGCGCGCTCTGGGGAATTCCAGGTGCATTGTCCTAATTCTTACAGCTATTCTGATTATTACATATTTTTCACCAAGGGACGGGTGCCCTTTGGCGAATTCCAGATTCACGTGTTTTCGAATCATTCTACGTGATTTTATATTTATTCGCAAAGGGGCGGGTGCATTTTGGGTCAAATGTGTTCGAGTTAGTCTACTTCTCATAGCAATCATCACTCTCTGATGTATTCCCACAGGAGGGTACCTTTTGGGGAAAACAACATTCATGGTTGATCTAATAATTTTACTCATTCCAACAACTTAAGCAAATCTAAGGATTCTCGTTGTTTTCAAGCCATTTGGTGAAGTCCAGTGTGGTTTCCAGGTCATTCTGTTCTGATTATTCTGGTTGTAGCACGCATTCCCAACGGCACGGGGCCCCTTGTGGGGAATCCGCCCCTAATTAGTTCCTTTGTTCTAGCTATTCCCAAGGAACGGGTGACTGGTGCCTTTTCGGAAATCCCAATTCCAGATTCATGTGTGTTTCAACTATAGTATTCTAACTAATCAACTTATTCTCATTCTAATCATTCCCAAAGGGGCGGGTGCGTCTTGTGGAATTCAAGATCCATGTTTGCCAGCTATTCTACTTATCATAACTATATTACTTGTTCTAATTATTATAATTCTTCCCAGAGGGACGGGTTGCTTTTGGAGAATTCCAGACCCATCTTTGTCCTACTGTCTTAATTATTGGGTATGCTTCCCCACAAAATTACAATTATTCTCATTTATATACTTATTGCGAAAGGGGCGGGTGCCTTTGGGGGAACTCCAGATTTATGTTTGTGCTAATTATTTGAACTAATCTAAGTATTCTACTTCTTCCAAAAAGTGGGGTGCCTTTTGATGAATTCCAGATTCATGTTTTCTAACTATTCTACTTATCATAACTCTTCTAATTCTCATCATTATTCCCAAAGGGACGGGTGACTTTTGGGGAATTCAAGAGCCCTGATTGCTAAGTATTCTACTTATCATAATCATTCTATATTATTCTAATTGAATCCCTAGGGAGCTGGGGTGCGTCTTGGGGAATTCCAAGCTCGTGTTTGCCCTGGGTAGGATAATTGTGTCAAAAGGGATGGGGCCTGTTGGTGGCGAGATTCGTGGTTCCCGCATTGTTCAAACTATTCGAGCCATTCCCAAATGAGCAGCTCCCATTTAGTAAGTTCTAGATTATTTCCCTATTTTCTATTTGGTCCCAAACAGGAAGGTGCCGTTTAGTGAGTTCAAGATTCACGTTCGCTGATTAGTCTACTTATCATCAGTCTTGTAAAATACTACTATCATTATTATTTACAAGGGACGGGCACCTTTGTTGTTCTAGGTACAACAATTACTACACAAGAGGTGGGTGCCTTGTACGTCTTCCCATTATTCTTGTCATTCCCAAAGGGGGGGGTGCTTGCGAGGAATTCCAGACTTGCTTTTTCCAATTCTTTATTCTCCAAATTGGGGAACTTTCAGATTCATTGTTTCTCTAACTACTCTACGTACAATATGTTCTGTTCTTGGGCGTGCCCAAATTATTTTAATTATTCCCAACGGGACGGGTCCCTTTTGAGGAATTCCAGATTAATTTTCTAGTCTAGCACATCTACTCATGAACTTATTATAATCATTCTTCCCAAAGGGACGGGTGCTTTTAGGGAATCTCCAGATTCATGTTTGTTCTAATCTTTCTAGTTATTCTAAATGTTCTGTTGTTTCTTATTATTCCCAAGGGGGCGGGTGCCTTTGAGGAATTGAAGATTCATGTTTTGCATACTAGCCTACTTATCATCGCCATGATTTCTCCTTATTCCAAGAGAGGCGTGCGCCTTTTGGGGAATTCCAGGTTCATAGTTTTTTTTCTGTTGATTCTACTTCTGAGATATTTTTCTCATGATTATTCTCATTCCCAAAAAGACGGGAATTCCAGGCTCTTGTTTTTGCAACTGGTCATTCCCAAATTTGGGGGAAATTCTGATTCATGGTCTCTCTCTTATTCAACTTCAGGTGTTTTGGAACTACCCGCATTGTCCAAGTATCGCCAACGGGGCGGCCCTTTTGAGGAGTTCCAGATTCATTGTCTGCTACACTATTCTACTTCTTATGATCAGTCTTCTCAAAGGGACAGGTGCCTTCTGGGAATCTCCAGGTTCATGTGTGTTCGATTATTCTAGTTGTTCTAACTGCTCTAATTTTCTAATTACTCCCACAGGGACGGGTGCCCTTGGGAAATTGAACATTCATGCTTGGGAAATGTTGTCTACTCATCGTAGCTATTATAATGATTATTCTTATTCCGAGAGGGACAGGTGCCTTTTGTTGAGCTCCAGAATCATGTTTGTTTTTTCAATGTTTTTAATGATTCTAGTTCTGATAACTGCTCTAGTTATTATTGGCATTCCCAAAGGGACAGGTGCCTGTGGGGAATTCCAGATTCTTGTTTTTCAATTTCTTCATTCCTCAAATTGGGGAATTTCAGACTCATAGTATCTCTAATCCTTCTACTTCAGATATTTTCTGTTTTTGGAAGTACCCGGATGATTTCAATTCTGCCCAACGGGACGGGTCCCTTTTGAGGAATTCCAGATTCAATCTACTCATTAACTTATTATAATCATTCTTCCCAAAGGGACGGGTGCTTTAGGGAATCTCCAGATTCACGTTTGTTCTAATCTTTCTAGTTATTCTACATGTTCTGTTGTTTCTTATTATTCCCAAGGGGGCAGGCCTTTGGGGAATTGAAGATTCATGTTTTGCATATTAGCCTACTTATCATCGCCATGATTTTCTCCTTATTCCAAGAGAGGCGGGCGCCTTTGGGGGGATTCCGGTTCATTGCTTTTTTCTATTGATTCTGCTTCTTGTTCTGATCATTCTCATTCCCAAAGGGACGGGAAATTCCAGGCTCTTGTTTTTGCAACTGGTCGTTCCCAAATTTGCGGACATTTGGGGAAATTCGGATTACCACCCGCGTTTCCAATTATTGCCAACGGGGCGGGTCCCTTCTACTTCTTATGATCAGTCTTCTCAAAGGAACAAGTGCCTTCTGGGAATCTCCAGGTTCATGTGTGTTCAATTATTCTGGTTATTCTAACTGCTCTAATTTTCTAATTACTCCCACAGGGACGGGTGCCCTTGGGAAATTGAAAATTCATGTTTGGGAAATGTTGTCTACTCATCGTAGCTATTATAATGATTATTCTTATTCCGAGAGGGGCAGGTGCCTTTTGTTGAGTTCCAGAATCATGTTTGTTTTTCAATGTTTTTAGTGATTCTACTTCTGATAACTGCTCTATTTATTATTGTCATTCCCAAAGGGACAGGTGCTTGTGGGGAGTTCCAGATTCTTGTTTTTCAATTTCTTCATTCCTCAAATTGGGGAATTTCAGACTCATAGTATCTCTAATCCTTCTACTTCAGATATTTTCTGTTTTTGGAAGTACCCGGATTATTTCAATTCTGCCCAACGGGACGGGTCCCTTTTGAGGAATTCCAGATTCATTTTCTAGTCTAGCGCTACTTATCAACTTGTTATAATCATTCTTCCCACAGGGACGTCGTTCCCAAAGGGACGGGTGCCTTTGTGGAGTTGAAGATTAATGTTTTGCAAATTAACCTACTTATCATTGCTATTTTTGCTTCTACTTATTCCAAGAGGGGCGGGTGCCGTTTGGGGAATTCCAGGTTCATAGCTTTGCACCTTCTGATAATTGCTCTATGTATCATTCTCATTCCCAAAGGGTAGGGTGCTTTTGGGGAGGTCCAGAGTTCCACAGGGGGGGGGGAGAATTCCAGATCCATATTCTTGCTAATGATTGTACTTATCATAATGATTTGATTTAGTCCAATGGTTCCCAACGGGATGGGCCCCTTTCAGGAATTCCAGATCTATTATCTAATCCAATGATTCTCATGGTTCATAATCATGCTAAATATTATAATTATTCTCAAAGGGACGGGTGTTTTCTGGGGAGTTAAAGGTCAATCGCTTGGTACTTATTCTATTTCTCAACGTGGGTCTAATTAGCCTAATTACACGAATCTTTGAGAATCGTGTC